GAAATAAAGGATGCATTTTGAGAGGAAATATACTAGATACCCAAGTTCCTAGTACGCAGTCATGTGCCCTGAACATCTTCAAGCATTTGTGGTTGTACTGCACAACAGAAAAATTGCTCTCCTTCCAGTCAAAAGACAAAACACTGGAAAAATTCAAATACAGTTTAAAAGTTCTTGGTCAGCATTACAATTTGCATTCAAAGGACATAATTCTAAAGCATTTCTTCCAGAATATCAATTGGAGATTTAAAACACACCACACATAAATGGGAAAGCTTTAAGTTGAGGTGCTGAACCATATTGAGGTTACTAACTTAATAACGTTTGAGCCATTAAATAAATGTTCCATAGAACTTTCAGTTCATAACACATATGAAGTTATGTCTGGGTTAGTTTGGGTTAATAGTCCCTTTAATTTTTCTAATGACACTTACTTGCTTGCCAACATATTCTCTTTCCATTTAACTTCATCATACTACTGTATATTTTTTATGGGCTTCCTAAAACGGGTGATAAGGGAGTCAGTTCTATCCCGGGAAGAGGAGAGCTTATCCTTGACTCTGAATTCATTCACCGATCACACAAAGATCTAAGAGCACCTACTGCGTAGCAGGCACTGGAATAAGCACTGGAGATGAGACACGAACAAGGTACCACCCTTAGTAGTCTCTGATCAGTGAGGGATAGCCAGGGAAGTAGCAGGTGAAGTGTAACGGGGCAGGAAAGGAGTCAAAGCACTGTGGCATGTTCAAAGAAAATGTCTGGGAGTGTTGATTTGAGGCTGAGACTTGAGGAAAGTCAGAGTTAACACGGCAAGGAGTGAGCTTCCCCGGCAAAAGAAACAGCCTAAGCAGAGACATGGAAGCAGTGACCAGGTAGCATGAACATCCCAGGGGCACCAGCCCCCATTGTGAGGTTCATCCTGAGCTTGTGGGCCTCCATTTACCTGAGTCTCCAGGATCTCGGGTCTTCTTCTTTCCTTTTAGATCACCTGTGTAACGTACCTAAGTCATTCTCAGATCTAAGTTCCCAGTGGAAAATCTTCAAGAGGTAATTCTCTCCCCCCAAAAAGTTAATAAGGTACTGTGTATTTTGCCAAGGATAAATTCAAACAACAAAAATATGGTGACATATACAGCTGATGAGAATGCAGCTTGAAAGAAACTTACTTTAGTAACTGTCTGAAAGATAGCCTGGTGGCTGTCAGTACAAACCGAACTGCAGCGCTGGAAGCCACAGGCTGACTGCTGGTTTGGATCCTCTGGCTGGCTTGAAAATATGCCTGGCACAATGCAAGCACCTGAGGAGCTGGAGGGCTGGGGGGAAGGGGATCCTGGTGTAATGAGAGTGTGCCATGGGTATGTCTCTCTTTCTCTTATGCTCCTCTATCATAAATAAACTTCTGGAAAACCTAAATTATTTTAATCCTGAATTTATAAAATCATTAAAGGCTAGAAAGTGTGACTTTACTTTTTTATGTACTTGTACTTTACTACATTTTACTAAAATATAACTTTCACAGGGCAAGAACCTTTGTTTCACTTCACTAATGTTTTCCAAGTGCAGAGAATAATGCCTGCCACACACAGGGCATTTAATAAATAGTTACTACTAAAAGATAATAGTAAGTTTTATGGGGGATGTTGCATTCTATGTTTTCCCATGTCTTGGGAAATCTTAACTATAAAGGGTTTGTGATAGGCCGAAGAAAGATGGGGTAGGGTTCCCTCAGACTAGGCAGCAAGGGTCCTAGCATTGCAAATAAACCAAAGAAACCAAAGATAAGGCTCTTCAAAGGCGGGTCTTATGGTTATCTCATCAAGGTTTTAGGTTTGGGTTTGTTTGTTTGTTTTGGGATAAATGTCTTCTATATATGGTACATAGACATGATTCTTAGCCTACAGTCTCAAGTGTTTGTAAATCACTTATGAGTCAGAATCCTATATTGCAAGACTGGGAGAAATCTGCCTTCAATCAATATAGGAGACGTATGCACACAGTTGTGCCAGTATCTCTGGACCTTCCAAAGCTCAGACAGGTTACTACTTGGAAGCCCATTGTTTCAAGGCTTGTTCCCTCCCAGTCTACTGATTCTGCTCTAGGAATGTGAGAGCCATGGTAACAAGGGTCCCAGAATCCCCAGATGCCCCGATGCCTTCAGAGAGAGTGCAGCCAATCACATGGTTGTCATCCTCTTCTCTTTGCAGTCTCTTGTATGTCCTTGAGCATGCCCATCCTTTTTAGCATGCCCTACCTCTTACAGCTTTTGAGAAGATTAAGTGAAGTAACACCTGGAATAAACCGTAGCCCAGGCACTGGCACATAGTCAGCTTCATTGATCACTCCTCCACCTGCTCCCCTCCCCATCCTGGACCCCCTGCATCCTGGCTTGAGTGCACTCAGCCACCTCTTTTAGCCTAGCAAAAATTCCAGAGCCAAAGAAACAGTCTGGCTGCATGCATGTGACTAGAAGTGGGACAGAGAAAACAGAAGGATAATAAACAAAGGATCTCAGTAAATTATTCTGTCCCACACAGTACCATGCAGCCATTTCAATTATTCTTCACTCACAAGCCAATTAAGAAAACACCCCTCAGAGAAGTACAAGGACTGGAGGCCAAATGCCCAGCGCTGGCAACATTTGCTCACACTTCTGTGACAGTAAATAGAAAGCGAAAAACCCTGGCCAGGCACGTTGCTCCTTGCTCCAAGCTCAGTTTAGCTGGAACAGAGGGAGGCTCAGTTCTTGCCAGCACACATTCAAATCCTAAGTGAACTCCCTTGGCTTCTGGGTAAATCTTCCTGGTGTGTGAACCCTTCAACCTTCCGCCACTGCAAGGCTTTCTTCCATTCTCACCTCAAACCCCCAGGAAGCTTCTCAGAAACTTCAAAAGTTACTCACTCAGATACTGCTTTGGTGGTTGGAATATAAATGTTCAGGAGTCTTGACATCTTCTATGGGGATCTTTAAAGAAAACTTCAAAGAGAAAGCTCTCCCGCTTTGAGAATTTCCAGCATAAGCAATAAAAGGAAATAATTGCCCCTTTCTATGTGTCTCTGATCCCCTCCGGAGGGACTGGCTTATTGAACAGGCCTGAGAGACTGCCAGTGAACAGACTCACGCACTTCAGCTGTGCCTAGAACCACGTGAGAGAGCTTGTGCGGCCACCAGCATCACCTGATCTCTTCCAAACAGCTGCCGTGACAATGGGTGGACACTGCCATTTAGAAATCAAACTTTTCTTCTTCCGGGGTAGATTATCATTTTCCTTTTATAAGTACAATCCCAACTTTCAGAAGGAAGAAAGAAAAGCACCTTTTGTGAAATTAAAATCTGAAACAGCGTCTGACTTCTGGATATGGCATCTTTCCCTGTATTAAAGGGCATCTCTACCATCCGTTCTGCAAATACTACCTAGGTGGGGTTTAAAAAAAAAGCTTAGGGTGCTCGCAGGTGGCACAGTGATTAAGATGCTGGACTCCCACGTGGCTGCATGGAGTCCTGCACCTGGTGGCTTGCCTTCTCCCTTTCCCTTTCTCTCTCTCTGGTCAAAGTAAAAAATAATAACAGCAAATAAAATAAAATAAATCAATCTTTAAAAAGAGAGAGAGAGAAAGCTTGGTAGTTAGCTAGTGCCCACCTCGCCCCTGAATACAAAGAAACACAATGGAAGATTTCAGCTCTTCCCAGCACTTATAGAATGAAGCAAAAGTCTGAGTCTGATCCTCAGCTTTCTTGTCAGTAAAGTGGAACAATGCCACCTACCTCTTAGAGCTTTGGAGAGGATTAAGTGAAACAACACCTGGAAAACCCATAGCCCAGTTTCTGGCATATAGTTAGCTTAGTTGGCAACTAAGAAGGTAACCACAGTTCTGACCCAAACAGTGGCACTCAATCCCAGTTGCCTATCAGGATGCCCTGGGATTTTTTTTTCAGATGTGCTTACCCCAGACCCAGGAATGGACATTTAGAGTTACTGATTTAGGTGGGGACTGGTTTACTTTCAGATGAAGAACTCACCAGGTGATTCTAATGCACAGCCAAGGTTTGAAAGTCACCAGCCTACAATGTTCCAGAACAAGGCCAGAAACCAGGTATTCTTATCAGCAGTTAAATATCAGACAGATGGAAAATAAAGGAAAAGTGAGAGGAAAAAATAATAAAAATTTAAATATTATAGTAAGGTATAAAAAATAAGATGGGGCTGGCTGGTAGTTGATGGTTAAGGCAGCTAGATCCCACATGGTTGACTGTGGAGTTTGAGATTTTGGACTCAGTGGCTTTAAAAACATGCCAGGCATGGGGCCAGCAGGTGGAGTGGTGGTTAAGGGGCTAGACTCCCACATGGCTGACCTTAGTTTTAGTCCTGGACCTGCCAGCTTGCTTTCTTACTTTCTCTCTCTCTCTCTCCCTGTCTCTTTCTGGTCAAATTAAAAACATGCCAGACACACGTGCACGCCCAAAATCCCAACAGGAAAATGGAGAATGGATTGCAGCATGGCCATCCCCTCGGGGAATGCTTTCTTACTTTCCCTCTCTCTGTCTCTCTCCAGTGTGCTCACATACCCCATAGCAAAATTAAAAAAAAAAAAAAAAAAAAGCATGAGGCCAGCAGGTGGTATGGTGGTTAAGGAGCTGGACTCCCACATGGCAATGGGTGGACACTGCCATTCAGAAATCATGGCAGATGATATTTTGAGTCTGGGACCATGCTCGCTCGCTCGCACTCTCTTTCTTTGTCTCTCCCCAGTGAGTGCATGTACCCTATAAAATATTAAAACATAACAGTAATAATAAATTATTTTAAAAACTTAAAAATAAGTTTGAGAACGATGTTTTTGGTCAATAATATGTATGTGATTGCTACAAAAAATTAATAAATAATGACCAACCAAAATGAAATGAAGCTCTATGTAAGCCTCAGTAAGAGTCTTACTGAAACGACAGCATTCTTGTTTGTGTGGTCAGGGAGACTTATTGACACGGCTAAAATACAGGAAAACACACCCAGATTAACAAGGGGGCAGTCATTTAATGCAGAAATCCAGTTAACATAAAGAGACAGAACTTGAACAACAGACAAGATTTCAAACAATACTGCATAGTGTCATGGAATAGCTCTTACACGGCTGTTCGTTTTTTTCTTGATTTTGATTCCAATACAAAGACAGAGATGAAACTTCAACTAAATAATAATAATAATAATAAGGCAACAGAAGAAGAATCTTCCTGTGACAAGGAACATCCACGAATAATGCACAAACACCTGATGCTGACACAATAAGACACTATTAGGACAAATTCTGAAAAGGCTGCATTAAAATTTAACAAGCATGGTCCAATGACAAGAAAATTATACTCGCTTTGTTACGAATCCTTTTGCAAATAGAAATGACTCTCAGGTAATTGTTATATACAAACTTTCCGAAATAAATGGAAATCCTACAAATTGTTCTGATGCGGTTTCCTCTTTTTCTACACCTAGAAAGGTTCCATGGCCCCGCTCCCCATTTCTCACAGTCGAAGCATAAATAGTCATTAAAGCACTTGAATCCACAGTAGTCTTGTCCTTAGAAAGGTTGGGAGGTTTTGCATGATTTTGTATCAGTCATCCAAAAAGGGCTGGCAGGCAACAGGTTGGAATGTAAAAGTCCACTTTGTGCTTGGAATCCTGACGTGAACTCCGTCTCCTCCACTCCACTCCCCCTACAAGTTGCCCACACTGTAGACGGGCCTTGAGTGGGGACAGTCATACCGTGGAGTCCCTGCCAGACTTTAGATGTGCAATCTTGGTCCGGCTAATAAATGGGTAAGCGATGCAGAGACCTCCAGCTGCCACAATAAAGCCTAAACTGCACCAGGCGCAAAAGATAGACCAGCTGTAGCCATGTTCCACATCATCAGGCAGGCTATAAATTAGCTTCGGGAGCCGGTTCAAATCATAAGAGATACTGGCAGCATAAGTGCAGAGAGAAATGGTGCAAAATATCCCTATAAATAATACAAAAAGAACAGAATGATCAGTTACTGTTTCGTTGGCTACAAGGCAGACGCCACATAAGCTTTTGTGAAGACCAGATCAACCGGTAAGACCATCACTCCAGATTCGTAAAGCAGCTACAACTCTTTTACTGGAATTAATTCATTCAACAAACATTGGCAAAGCTTCTATATGCGAGACCCTACATGAGGTACTGAGGATACAGGAGTGAAAAAAGAGATGAAAATACTGATAGTGTAATTATTCATAATTATCTGCTTTGACTAGCTGTGCATGTTGGAAGTAATTTTTGTCCTTTATGTTTAAAAACTTAATAAAAATTCTAAAGTTATAAAGGAAAAATGTGTTTTAGAATCACTCAAGCCCAATACAAATATAAACCATTTTTCATTTCCTTCTGCACTATAGCTAATTTGACACTTTATTTATTTATTTTTTGGTGGGGAGAGGAGAGATTTTTGCTATAGGGCGCATAAGCTCGCTGGAGAGACAGAAAGCAAGAAATCACACCTCCCAGGGGCACAGCCACGCCACAACCCCTTCTCCTCCATTCTCGCCTCAGGATTTTGGGCACACATGCATACACATCTGGTATGAAATTTTTTTTTGAAAGGTTTTTTGCTATAGGGCACGTGTGCTCGCCAGACAGAGAGAGACATAGAGACAGAAAGTGAGAAATCACCTCCCAGGGGGGATGGTCACGCCGCAATCCCTTCTCCTCCATTCTCTTCTCGGGATCTTGGGCATGCACACACACACACCCGGCATGAGTTTGAAGCCACCGGGTCCGGGACCCGAACCGCGGTCGACTACATGGGAGTCCAGCGACATAGCCATTATGCTAACTGCTGGTTCCCCACATCTGGCATGAAATTTTAAACCGCTGGGTCTGGGACTTGAACCATGGTCAACTACATGGGAGTCTAGTGATGGGACCATTACACCATTTGCTGGTCCCTAATTGGACATATTTTTAACTGGTTACAATCATTATAAAAAGTCTATTTTCTTTTTTAGTTAACATTATTATAAGTATTTAATATGTTTCCCATACTGACATTTTTTAAGGCAGAGTATGGCATATACCAGGGCCTCAACAGATGTGTTTTTTGTTTGTTTATTTGTTTTTGAAAGAATGAATGAATACATTTTTTATAATATAAATTAAGTCCAAAATGTGAAATTGATATAAAATAGCTAACTTAGTAAGGAGATTATACAGTAAGCTGTTGGAAAAGTCATTACATGTTTTCTGTTTTTCTGTGCAAAAATGCATCCCAACTTTCCTGACAACCCAGTGCTTCAGCCAATCAAAATGTAGTTAAGGGTTAGCCCCATGGCCTAATGGCTAGGAAAGCCAAATTCCACATGGCCTAACAAACAGTTTAAGTCCCATCCCTGGTGACTTTAAAAACATACCAGGTACATATTCATGTGTGCTCCAAATCCCAAAAGGATGGAGAAGTGGAGAAGAAATGATTGAGGAGTGGCCACGACCCATTGCAGGGGTGGGGAAAGCTATCTACTTTCTCCCTCTCTTTTCCTCTGTCTCTCTCTGATGAGTCCATATACCTTCTGGCAAAAATAAAAAATAAGAAATAAATCAACCAGTTGTAGTCCATATGAGTGACCTAAGAAAAATGGAGTGACTCCAAATTATACTTTCTTTGAATACCAATATGTATATGTAAAATTGCCCTTCTAGAAAACAAAACTCAAGAATCTGATCAAAATGTTTCATATGCCCAAAACACAGGAAGGACTCTTAGTACTCAGGTGGTGCGCCAAGGTGCATCACCACAACAGATCCCCAAGGATGCAGCTTTCCAAGTGGCGTGGGGTCAGAATGCGGCAACTGGAGTGGACGGCGGACAATGAAAACAGAAACTGGCACCCAAACAAGTATCAGAATATCCAGTGTCGTCCTCCACGTCCTCCACATCTCACCCCTGGACTCTGGTTTATCCCCATGTGTGACAGAGGTAGCATCTATTTGCTGAAAAATTGTTTTGATATCCTTAGGGAATCTCTGCAGCACCTCCTCAGGGAACGAAACAGAGACTTGGAATTGAGGAGAGGATTCAACGTAGCACATCTCCCCACTTTTTAAGCTATAGCTTTGGAGAACAGAAATACCAGCGGAAAAGCAAAATCAGAGCAGGTAACGATTTCGAGGAAATAAAGATCACCTCGATGCCATTTTTTTTCAAGTGCTAGAATTCTGCCTCCATTCAAATCATTGAAGGGCACATTGCCTGACTCCTTTTCCAACTGTGCATTTAGAAAATAAATGTCCTAAATTAAAAGAATGCATGATCTGACATAATTTAATACTTCCCACTCTTCGCCTAACTCTGTTTTTAAACCTTAAAGTGGTTCTGTTTTCCTAAACAAAGGTAAAATCTTATTTTTTAACTTCTCACTCCAATTTATTAAAGCAAATATATCAGTTTGAGTTCTCCAAAAGAAAGAGCACAATGAAAGTAATTCTTTTACAAAGGAATTCTCCAGAAACGAATGCCCCCATTGCTTTTTTCAAGCTTTGTGAAGAGCAAATACCTTATATCTGCAGAAATGTTTTTACTGGCACAAAGACAGTGTTTATATATAACAAGGTCCTTTTAACTAATGCCGGTCATAGAACAATAACGCAGCCAGAAAAAAAAAAATTGATCTCTGGAGTATCAACAGGTAAAATAGAATAATAGAACAATGAACAATTCATAGGAAAAACAACTCCGTGTTGCAGTAGCTATCCGCACTCAGCTGAATATCTGAAAGCATGCATTTTTACAAGTAACATGGTTTTTATGACCTCTGAAAGCTTGAGTTCAAACTCAGACTTTTAAACATCCTTTGATGTCTAAAAGCACTGGGATGTAAGAAATATGTATTCCATCCCCAGCTCTACTAATCGCTGTGCGACCTTGAGATTGCCTAAGGTCTCTGAGCCTTAGTTTTTTCACCTGAGTAAAAAGAGGATGGAGGGAGGAGAAGAACTTAGTTCCTGAAGTTCCTTGAAGTGTCAAATTTCTGTGATTCCGCTATTCCAAAATAAGACACAGAACAAGAACATTTCCTAAAACTTCCTAGTGAATTTAGTACTCAACACTATGCAACTGAATAAAAATGGAATGTCCTATGTACTTTTATTTCTGTACATACCCTCTGGTTTTACACCAAACATTGATTTTATTAGCACCTCCTTGCCTGCCAACTCCATAAAATTGCTTTTGGTGAAATGAGTTTTAGCATTACACCACCAGTTCATACTGAGTAGAAAAGGATGATAAGAAACAGTCTGATCTGAGGGTTTAACTAGGCCAGTGTCTCTGCCCTCGATGTCATGAGCCATTATGCCTTCCCCGAGCAAGCGGTCTGTGCTGACCTCATAGACATCGTGAATCGCGTCACTAATAAGCTTTCTTTCTTTGCATTGTCAAAGACCTGAAGTTCCCTAAAGTTAACTCTGGCCCACCATGAGCATTACAAGCTTTTTGCTTCTCATCTCATTCTTGGATTCATCTTGCCTTGTAAACTGAGAGTCTTTGTCTTATTTGTATCACTTATTTGCATTTATTTCATCACGAAACAGTTTATGCATCTCTGTGATACTTATATTCTTTTTGGAATAAGGCACTCACCAACATTTAATGGAAACTTGCTTTATTTCCTATTGGCTTTATTCACCCAGTTGAAGGTGCTGGAGAGCAGGCCTATTTGCCCATGGATTGGACCCTTCTCTGCCCTTCCCCCTTCCCACAAATGCACCCACAGGCTGCCCTTCTGTAGTATTTTTTCATCTTTGAGATATCCATTAAAGTTGCTCTAAGTAAGAAGAAAGCAAAGGAGGACAGATTAACAAGAAAAGTGTATCTAAAAGCTTCTCCTTTTCAGACCCTCACATCTCTAAGGAAGTTTGCACATACTGCTGCTACAGGGGCAAGCTTTAGTGACACATTGCTAAGATACTGGGCTCTATAGGCTGGGACTACGTGGGAGGCCTGGGTTTCATTCCTGGCCCCACCAAAATACTGAGTGTGGTGGTGTGCGCCTGTCATCCTAACAACCAGGGGAGGCTGAGGCGGTAAGATTGTGAGTTCAAGGCTATTCTGGGCATTATAGTGAGACTCTGTCTTAAAAAAACAAACAAACAAACAAAACAAAACAAAAAGAAAGAAAAACAGTCAGTATGGCAGTGAGCATCTGTAGTCCCAGCCAGGAGGCTGAGGTAGGAGGATCACCAATGTAGCAGGACCCTGTCTTAAAAGAAAAAGGAAAACAAAACAAAACAAAACAAAACAAAACAACCTTAGATAAGGTGGTACAGGGAAAATACTGAGTGTGGTGGTGTGCGCCTGTCATCCTAACAACCAGGGGAGGCTGAGGCGGTAAGATTGTGAGTTCAAGGCTATTCTGGGCATTATAGTGAGACTCTGTCTTAAAAAAACAAACAAACAAACAAAACAAAACAAAAAGAAAGAAAAACAGTCAGTATGGCAGTGAGCATCTGTAGTCCCAGCCAGGAGGCTGAGGTAGGAGGATCACCAATGTAGCAGGACCCTGTCTTAAAAGAAAAAGGAAAACAAAACAAAACAAAACAAAACAACCTTAGATAAGGTGGTACAGGGAATACTACTGCTCAGTGCTAAAGGGTGAATGGGAAGGTTCCTGGTTCCCATCTTGGTTCAACCTGTACATGCCAGACATACCTGTCATCTTTACTGGCTGCAGGGCCAGAAAGAAGATAATGTCTGTATCTCTCTCTCTCTCCTCTCTCAATGTCTCTCCTGTTCCCTCTCAAAATCAGCATACTTTCAAAAACTTATCATTAAGATCATACACACCTACACATGTGCATGCACCCACACGCACAACGTAGCTGTCATAAGTATTGCTTGTGGGAGGGATACACAAGAATATTTGTGACTGTTATAAGGAAATATTCTGAGAAAATAGAAAGTATTGTTTCCAAGTTTTGTTTTTTTTT